GCAAACCAGGCAGCATCGTAGGCTCGGATCTCCTCTTTCCTGTACTCACCACAGGCCAGGCCTGAGCTTTTGGAGCCAGCCTGAGAGAGCAGGCCTGCTGCGGTGGCCTGCTGTGCATAAGCCTTGGAAGAGTTGGCACCGCTGCTGCTTTTCAGCCAGTGAGGACAGGGCCAGCCAGAGTTGGGTCAGGGCTGTCCATGGCAGCCCTGTCACTTGAGTCACCTCATTGTCCTTCTTCTAGGCCTGTGGGTCTCAGAATCTGGGTCTTAAGAGTTCTTTCCTTTTTGTTGCTACTTCCCATAAGCAAAATTAAAAACCGAGAAACTGAAAAAATTTGTTTGAAATGAATAGTATGAGTTTGGATTTAAGCTTTTGGCTGTGGTTTTGAGATGTTGGGATGGAAGACATTTAGTGCTCTGATGCTGCCCTTAGTTAGGGCGGCCCTTGGGATTTGGTCCCAGCCCTGCATGAAGCCTGTTCTATCCCTGGAGGTGTGCAGGGAATGTGTCTGGGTGTCAGGTTTGGGGCGAGGGTCACTTTGTAGACAGCAGCCTGTGGTGTTGCAGATCTGTGCCATCAATGCTTTTTGTTTCTGTTCCTGGTGGTGTGGGTTTTTCCTCCAGTGACAAGAAAAGGAAGTTGGAAACAAAACAAGAACCCAAACAGACCAAGAAGTTGAAGAAGAGAGAGATGAACAAGAGAAAGGATGCGAAACTGAAACGGCAGAAGTAGTGACGCCGTGGAGATGCCACTGTGAGCCGTGTTGGCCTGGGGCCGGGCAGCAGTGTGGGCAGTAACAGTAGCGGGTGTTCAGCAGAGTAAGGCCTGCCCGTCATCCATCTGTGCCCTCCATCCGGGGCGAAGACTCCCAGTCTGCTTAGAACGTGGTGACTTAGTGGGCAGGGAAAGCTCTGGCATTGCCAAAGGACTTGTCACTCTACCCGGAGCCATGGTTGTACTCTTTCACTTAGGGATGCTGCACTGGTTCCTGGCCTTCTGGACCCCCTAGTACACAGCTTCCGTGTGGAGTGCTGTGTCACTGCAGACTTGGCCCAGGTCCCTTCTGCTCCATTCCTGACTGCAGCAGGTCAGCTGTCCTCAGTGTCCCAGGAAGGCCTGAGTCTTAGGTAGGCTGCAGAGTCTATGCCCCTCAATGCCTTTTGGTTGCCTCTTCATTTGGGAGAAACTGTCAGGAAAGATTCTTGCTAGCAGAAGTGAAGGGAGGGTTAGAGTATCTATTTGTAATAAATGACATCATAGGCCATTTGCCTGTGATGCTTATAAAATCCACATCTATGGAAGTTGCATGTTTCCTTGTTCTGGTGAGTTTCTGTAGCTCAAAAGTGGAGGCCTAGGGATCAAGACCATGGGTGTGCTGTGTAGCTAGAGTTCAGCCTAGGTACCTGCGAGAGATGTGGCAGGTACCCAATGGCATTGTAATCACCTTCAAAGTTAGCTGGCTCCTGCTGGGTTCTACCACTCATTCTGTTCATTAGAGACAGAAATTACCTGGTGGCTTCACACATGCCCTGGCCCCCATGTTTAATGGTGTCGGTACCAATTGTTCAGTACTAGTTGGCAGAAGTCTAATAGACAAGGAAGGAAGGAAACTTCTAGACCAACAGGTGATGAACATGTGGCTTACTCTGTGACAGAAGCTCTGTGCCCACCCGAGGACTGCACCCCTACTCCTGGTCTGCAGGGGAGCTTGCCGAGGAACCAGGGAAGGGGTCTTTTTCAGTTTTCTTGGGCAACCTCCCCAGCCTGCTGTTCGGGGAAGATTTGGGAACATGGTCAGAAACCAGAATGCAGGTGCTAGCTGAGAAGAGTTGGATAGCTTGCACACCACACCCCTAAAACTGTCCACTAGTTCTGTCCAGGCTGCAAAGCAAGGGTTGTAAGGCTGGGCCCATGTGACATGCTTGGACATGGCTCTTCCCTGAGGCTCTTTGAGATCTTGGGCACTGTGTGGTTCAGTCTCCATGGGGAACAGTTAAGAGGTAATGTGCTAGCTGGGCATTGGTGGCGGACACCTTTAATCCCAGCACTCAGGAGGCAGAGGCAGGTGGATCTCTTGAGTTTGAGGATAGCCTGGTCTATAGAGTGAGTTCCTGGGCGGGTTCCAAGCTGCAGAGAAACCCTGTCTCGAAAGAAGAGGTAATGTGATTATAAGGGCTTTAGTGGGTTAACTTGAGAACTTGAGAGCAGACCTATTATAAAAGCCTGCTATGCCTTAGATGAGCCTTCTTGTCACATATGGGGAAACCACCCTGCGTAAAGAGCCACTACAAACAAAGCCCTCATCAGATTCTGCCACTCAGTCTCGACTTGGCAGTTTCCAGAATCTCTCTACCCTCTCTCTGTGTGTGTCCTGGTTTCTTAGACAGGGCTTCTCTATATAGCTCTGTCTTTCCTGGATCTCACTCTGTAGACCAGGCTGGCCTCAAAATCAAGAGATCCACCTGCATCTGCCTCCCCAGTGAAATTTTCTTTATAAACTATTCAGCCTTAGACATTCTGTTACAACAAAATGACATGTGGCTTCACCTCACTCCATGTCCAAGTGGGTCACAGTTGAGTGGTGGTGATGGCAGTCCCATTCCAGTCATGAGGAACAGTGGGTTGGGGGGGAATTGCTTAGAACAATGGGCCCAGTCTGCGTTCTGGTTGCTCCCCAGGTCTAACCAGGGGAGCTGCTTTGAGGTGATGGAATGACTGGCCATATTCCAAAACAAGCCTGAGCTAACCAGAGACACGTGGCCGGTGCAGCCTGTGCCTTGCAGCTAGAGGTGCCCAGCACTAGGTAATTAATTGTCTTGGGCACGGTGCTTCTCAACTTGACCAGGGTGGCTTCTCGGGACACAAAAGGAAAGAAATGCCTCCACCCGCTTGCTGTGTGCAGTCAAGGTCCTTTTCAACGCCTGCGTCCTAAGCAGGTCTGGCATCTCGTCTCTTTCAAACCTGGAAGGGCATACCTCCTTCAGACCTCACCATCTGGCCCCCAGCAGAATGACATCTGTAAAGCTCTTTTCTCTCACGAGTGGCACCTCCATGTGAAGTCAGATGGTCCAGCTCTGCATGTGTCACAGGATGGGAAAGGGGCTGATAAGATTTGAACAAAGAGAGGGTTCCTTCCTTATCGCCCCACCTCTAAGCTATAAGGGGCAGATGCCAGCCCGTGATACTGTTTCCACTGCTCATCTGGACCTGACAATCCCAGAGGATGCTGGAGTGACAGAGGGGTATGTGTACTTGTGCTGAGGCTAGGAGAAGGGGGCAGGAGGTAAATGACAGTCACCCTGGGAAAATGTAGGCTCATCTAAAGCATCACAACCTAGCAGCATGTGTGGGCCTGGAGAGGGTTTGGGTCTAGAAGGCCTTTTGAGTCTGAGTGGTGATCTCAGGCTACAGGGAAGGGCTTGCCTTGGATTCTATAAACAACTGCTTACTCTCAGATTGTGCAAAGGGAACTTTCTGACTCGCCAGCCCTTCATCTGCACAGGGGACTCCTACGAAGGAAGGAACCCAGCTTATTACAGAAAGCACAGCATCAGGAGAGAGACTGGAGCCTGGGAAGACCAGAAGCCTTGACTCTTAGTGTTTGCCTTGGTGGCCCAGGATTGGCCCCGGGTGGCTTCTGTGTCGGTATAGGGGTCTCAGGCACCTGCTGCACACATACTGCTACGTCTGCTGTCCCAGGGTATGTTGCTGATACACCCAGCTCTGGTGACCCAAGGACTGCTTCTTCCTGTCTAGCTGCTAGTAGTGAGAAGCTGACAGAGGAGTTGTTCTTATGATGTTGAGTAGCTGCCCTGGGGTAAGTGATTACATACTCCTGTTGCTGTTTTAGATCTACGAAGAGTGAACTTGTTCTCCTACAAAAATGTGTGTGTGAACAAGTGTAAACATACCTGTAAGTGTGTGCAGGCCAGAGTATGTTGGGTGTCCACTTTTTCCCTTGAGAGGAGGTCTCTTACTGAACCTGGAGCTAGGCTGCCAGCCAGCAAGCCCCAGTGATCCTATTTCTGGCCTCCACAGTACTGGAGGTTACAGGGGTGCACGTGGCTACACCCAATTTTTTACACAGGTGCTAGGAGTTGGGCTCAGACTTCCACAGCAAGTGTCCCATTGAGCTATTTCCAGCTCCAGTAATACTTTTTAAAATGATTATTTTAAATACTCATTTAAAAGGGTGCCTGTTACATTTAATCCTCCTAACACCTGTGCAGAGGAACTGTTTGGATCCAGATTGTAAGCACACCTGTCTTTTCAGCTGGGAACAGCTCTGCTGGAGGTGGAGTGGTCAAACAGACCCAGGAGGAAGGACACTCCAGACCTCATGCTCCTTCACAGGTTGTACCAAGGACAGCATCTCCTTCCTGTGGCCCCCAGAGGGCACTGTGGTGCACCTGTACAAGCTGCCCTCACTGCAGAGTCCTAGACTGAGCCTCAAGTCATTCTGCCTGGCCTCCACCTCTTTCCTGGGACTAGTTCCTGGGGTCTCTGTCTTCTTCCAGTTAGAATTTCAGGATGCTACTAAGCAGTAGCCCCTTGGGTTCAGTTCCCAGTGATCTTAACAAGAAGTGGGGGTGGGTGGTATATTCCTAGCCCAGGCTGGCCTTGAATTCCTGATCCTGCCTCTACCAGGTGCTTTTCAGACCATGCAGGTCTGCAGGCACTTAAGTAGCTTCCTCATCTCATCCTCTTTATGGAGGGGCCTGGGCCAGAAGGCCAGGAAAAGCCACAGATGGGTTTCCCCAGTCTCAGTCCTGTTCTAGCGCAATGACACAAATTTTCATCTGCCTCATTTCCCAAGTGAATAAATCTAAGGACAGTCAGACTGAGCACCTGGGCAGGTGAGTGGATGGCTACATGCTAGCTCTGTTGTAGGGTCTTTCTGCCCAGAGGCACAGACTCGGCTCTAGGTTCCCCCATGGTCCAATGGGACTCCTCTCCAGCTCTGAAGTCTAGGCAGTCTTACCAGGAGCAGGTGCCAAGGCCATTGTTAATGAGTGTTTATTGTTGATAAAACCATAGTACATTTACAGTAAGTGACAACATTAAGGTATAGTTACAGTATCATACAATATTACAGCAATAAAATATCACTCATTCTTTTGTACATCCAGCACAAGCAGCCGAGCTGAAAATATTTTCCAGGATTGCAAGCCCCAGGGGCTTCTGATGAATAAATAGTTTTTAAGGTAGCTGTTCTCGATGCTGTCCCAGCGTCTGTCCATAAACAGGCCAGAGGATGGGAAGCCAAGATTGGGGGGGTGGGAAACACCCCTTCTCTTCCACCAAGGCCCTGTCCTTCATGTCCAAGAGTCACAGATCCCAGTGAGAAGTGTGCTCTTGTACTCCAGTCCTGAGTGTAAGGAAGCTTGCACTTGAGAGGCCACCGAAGCACTGCTGCCTGAGTCTCCAGACACCCTAGAGCCTACCTCTTCACTTTGGCTGCCAGCTGTAGCAGCAGGAGCTGAGGTCCTCGTGTTCCTGTACCGTACCCCGTCACACCCTCAACTCAGAAGCTCCAAATTCAGACTCCAACTTAGTAGTCTTGCAGGAGGTTCACTAAAGGCCCAGTCTTCACAGACGGGCCACCCGCCCTTTCAAAGGCACAGCTTAGGGGACAGATTTGGAGAGCCTTTCCTTTGTGTGGCATTTAGGGAAAGATACCAGCTATTGCATTTAGTGGCCTGGGGCTCGGGATAACATCACCCATTCCTAAGAATGTCCATGCTCCTCACAACCCTGGCCAGGTAGATGGTAGAGCTGGAGCTGGGGTGGATCAGCTTGCTGCTGAACCACTGCGGAAGAGGACACAAGGTAGCCCTCAAGGTGCAAACGATGTCACACTGCCTTGGCAGTTACTGATTGAGCGACTGTCAAGTGGGCTGTCTGCCCACTCCAGGATCAGTCAACACCACCGAGGGTTATCTGGGGGAAGAGCAGGAAGTATCCCACATGCCTAGCTCCAAAGGGCCTATAGGCCTCCCTCACTGAGGGTGTCAGTGGTGGCTGTGTCCTGGCCTTAGCAGACTGTTGCACACCTGCAGTCACCCTCCTCTCTGCCTCACACCCGGGAGGTGACGTAGACAGAATGTACTCTCTCAGCCAGGGTGCTCTGCAGGTCCTGCAGTGGATCCAGGCCCTGGACTTTGCTGCTTCGGCCATAGATGAGCTGCCGGAAGGCATCCTGCTCCAGCAGGGCCTTCATGTGCTTGAGGAAGAAACCCTCACAGAATAGGGCCAGCTCCGGGGCGTTGTGGATCTGTGGTAGGGAGAGAAATGAGGCCCATGTCTTTATATACTACTCCCAACCTTCAGATGTCCCTATCTGCCTTTGGAGGTCACCTTCCCTCCTGGGAGTGCCTGGTTCAAGCTGCCTTTTCCGTACCTGTGTCACAGATGACACCTTTATTGGACAGCTCCTTTCTAAGGGTAGTGACTGCACTGTCCAGCATGAGGTCACAGGAGTGTCATGGGCAGTGCACCAAAGCTGTGCTAATTCAACAAGTGCCAAGCACTGCCTTTGAGTGTGACTCTGAGCATGGGTACTGAGGTCCCTCTCAGGTGTCCTTTGAGTGTGACTCTGAGCATGGGTACTGAGGTCCCTCTCAGGTGTCCTTTGAGTGTGACTCTGAGCATGGGTACTGCGGTCCCTCTCAGGTGTTCTTGGAGTAAACATTCTGGGGCAGGGAGGATAAAATCCAAGGAATCGGTGAGACTACAGATGGACAATAAAAGCTTTCTGAGGCTTAGGGGTACCATCTGATGAAGATACAGGGTTGGTTAGCCTTGGGAAGTGCTTTACAGGAAGATGGAAGGATTGTCATTGCAGTCCTAGGGTAGGAACAGGCTGGGACAGGAAATGAAGGTGATCTTGGGAGTCTTGTCAAGCTTGCTATGGGCTGGCTTCTATTAGTTTGTGAGCAGCCAACCACCTTGGGCCAGCTTAAGTAGGGGTTGAGTGGCTTCATACTTCTGAAAGAAACCTGAGGTTTGCATGGAGAAGACAGGATATGGGAGACTGGAGGATGCACCGCCCAGAACAGAAAGCAGGGTAGGGTAGCACAGTGGGAAGTGAAGAAAGTGGCTGCAAATGTTTCAGGGTAGGTGGCCTAGAGGTAAAGACGGTGCTGAGTCAACTGACTTCTCTGATTCGGGACCTGAGCCAGTGGCAGTGCCACCAGGGACTGGAGCTGGGGCTTTAAACTCCCTCAGCCCTCTGCTGCCCTTCATGAGGTCTGGTCACATGCACTTCCTAGCTGTGCTGTGAAGGGCCCTATAGTGTGGTGGGAAGCCCTTACCTTGGCGTATTTGTAGGTGTTGACTGCGCTCTCCACGCTGAGGGTCTGGGAGCACAGGATCTCACAGTGTCTCTGCAGGGCATCCAGCTGGAACAGGTTGGCCGCTGACAGCAGCTAGTCAGGGGATAAAAGCAGGCAGGCCCCTTGGGATGAGAGCTCCTTCCTAATCCCCAGGACCCAGCCCACATCCAGACAGTCTGAGGAGAAGAGATGGTGGCTTGAAATGGTTCTGTGTCCTCGGCCATCTTGGTACCAGTAGCAGGGATGTGAGAGGTACTGGATGGGTGGCAGATGAGGGTTTCATGTCAGGTGTTTACCTACATGAGCCCGAGCTGTGTGCTTTAGCCACGGGGGAGCAGGAGGCTCAGCCACCATCCTGGGCTAAACCATCCAGCTGTACCTTTCTAACCACAGGCATGGCCAAGAAAGGCTGGGCTTGAGGGTCTGTCCAGTCTCTGGTTTCTGTAAGTGTCCTTACTTCAGGTGGCAGGCCCCCGTGTGTAACATGAGCTTAGGCTGAGAGCTGAAGGTCTGGGGGATTCTGGGCTGCACACCCTGCTCTTACCTGCAGGATGTCAGCCGTGGGGATCTCCATGGACTCTGTTCCTCCATAGTAAAGGTACTGCATCAGCATCTGCGGTGGAAACAGACCTGTGTAAACACCACCGGTGGGTGTGCTGCCAACTCTGTCACCTCGATGCCATGCCATGACAATAAGCTTTCCCCTGAAAGCCCTGTAGCCCAGGAGGGAAGGTGACTTTATGTCTCTCTGGGTTCTGTTCCCTAGCAGGGATTTCCTACACCCCACATTCCACCCCTGCAATGTGCTCATTGCTTTTCAAAATTTACATATGAACCAAGTGCAGGCAGTGGTGGCGCACGCCTTTAGTCCCAGCAATAGGGAGGTAGAGGCACATGGATTTCTGAGCTTGAAGCCAGCCTGGTCTACAGAGTGAGTTCCAGGACAGCCAGGGTTACACAGAGAAATCCTGTCTCAAGAAACCAAAAACAAAAAGTAAATGAGCCAGGTTGCTGGTAATGTCCATAATTCTGAATCCAGGAAGCTTAGCTAGGAGGATTGCTCAAGTTTGAGGCCCACCCTGAGCCACACATACCAGGCCAGACAGGGACAGCCCATCTCAAAGCACAACCAAAGTATAAAGTGAATTCTACAATTGGCCAGGCATGTTGGTACAGGCCTGCAATCCAACACTGAAGGAGGATGGTAAGTTCAAGGCTAGTCTGGTCTACATACATAGTGAGTGACTGTCTCAAAAGCCAAACAAGTCTATGTGGAGCTGAGGGTTGAGTGTACCAGGGACAACTGTTGAAGCAGGTCACATTCTGATATCTTGGCAGATCTCCCCAAGAAAGGAAATGCTCACTTGCTGCCTGGGGCTCTCAGGAAGTGGGTGCTGGGATTCCATGGGTGGGCCCATGAGCGGGCAGCTGTATTGAGTTCTGAGGTTTATATCACAAATACTGCCTTTACACTGGAGCCTGGTGAGGTTCCCAGTTGGAAAAGGAAAACACTTCTCTCTGGTTGGCTGAAGAAACAGCCCCAGCAAGGCGCTGGCAGGCGTGTGAGTAAACAAGGCTCCAGCCGGCACAGTCAGACTCTGTTAGCACCGGCCCTCAGGCTGGAGAGGCACCACATGGTCTAGGAGAGCCTGACAGCATGCCTGCAGCTGGGCCAGGTACTGGCTGGCTCCCATCGGGAAGCCAGGCTCCCATGGCTTCTGCAGTCCCAACTGGAGTCTGCACAGCCTCCACACAGTGGCTCAGTAGTGTGTGTCCCCTGAGTGCTGTGTGTCTCCCCAGCCACCAGGAGTAAGTCTCAGATCTGGGATATGGTCACTCAGCTGGGACAGAGGTAGGGCCTTCTGCTAAGTTTAGTCTCCAGTACTATGAAAAGAAAAATCCCAGTTCCTTACACTGCTACTCTGAGTGCATATATGGAAGCACTTCTGATATGCTGAGTATATAAATAAAGTTAGATAGCCCCAGGGGATCCATGGGTAAGGCAGGCGTCCTGGCCCAGATCTCAAGAACTGGCTAACACTGGGTGAGGAGCTGAGGTCTAACATTTCCAAGGCCTATATGTGCCACCATGTTAGGCCTACTGTCCCCATTTGCCTTATCAGGAGTTGCCAGCCTGTCCTGGCACAGGTGCCCTTCTGTGGCCCCAGGGTGGAGCCCACACAATCCCTGCAGCTCTCTGGGGCCATCCTATATCTGAGCACTGCTCTCCCTCATGTTTCAGTCACATGTAGCTTGCTGGCTACTTGACCAAACAAGCTTCTAGAGCTATCCCTCTTCAGGTCGGGGGGGGAGGGGGAGGGGGCCTTACCACTCAGGTCAGAAGTCCCAGGTCTCAAACACCCCACCCCCAGTCACTGAGTCCCAAGTCCCATCTGTTCTTCCATGTTCTATGACTTTTCATCTAGTAGCTGAGCTCTGTCATTTCCTAGCTGTGCTACCTTGACTAGCTACTAAACCTCTCTGACTCCTCATCTGCCAGGAGGGGCACAGACCTCAGACTATGCTATGAGGAGCAGTGTCTGGTGAGCTAGCGCCTGCTGGTGGGTAAGGGTGCCTGCTCCCATGCCTGGTGACCTGAGTTTAAGATGCAGGATTCATATACACTGGAAGGAGCAAACCCCTACACACAGTGACATGCCTTTCCTCTGCACCCCACACAAAAATAATTTTAAAGAATTAAAATGAAGTGTCAGTGATCGGCCCCACCCTTTACTGGAGCTCCCTGTATCATGGGGCTGATGTTCAAGATTTCCTGCTCTGGCTTTGGGACACTGTATGTACATCTGAGGTCTTGTTAACTGGTTGTTGATACTGTAGCCTGCTTTTCCAGAAATGTCTTCCCCTGTCTTATACTTGCTAACAAGTCACAGCCCTGTCTCACTGATGGTGGCCCCATCGTCTTAATTCCTCTGTACCAGAGTGTCTAATGCCAAACCAGGAACTAAAGAGTAGGTTGAAGAATCAAGCACTGCGTTTTGAGGTCTCATACTAGCCCACTCTGGCCGCGAGCATAGGACACTCCTACTTCAGCCTCTGAGAGCTGGGGCTGTAAGTGCTTGTCACCACACCTCGCCTTAAGTATGGTGGTGGCACAAGGGGCCAGGCATTTTAGATGATGTCTCTCTGTACTGAGTGATGGTGGTAGGGATTCTGTGATCTCTTCCATGAGATATTAATCTGCCCAGGGCAAGCAAGGCAGAGCCCGGCACTACCTACCTGATGCCACTGGGCCTCTGCATAGTCATTGTCTTGAAGGGGATCAGATCTACAGGTCTGAGCACCAATCCCCCAAACACATACACCTGAGGACCAGCAAACCTCATTTTCTGAAAAATATCTTAGCTGAGACCCCAACCAAATCTCCAGACCCTTCTCCAAAGGCCAGACTGGCTCCCCATGCTTTTCCTGTCTGGAGTGGACGGTTGAGGGGCGGGGCAGCCTGCACCTCCACTGCCTAATGGCCCAGGCCACTGCATTTCCTGCAAGCTTTCAGCAGCTCACTACAGAATGAGGGCCTGCACACCGAGGAGACAGCATTCCTTCATCCTTTATGTCTATGTACTGGCTGCCCGGTCTCATGGTGGATCAGTGCAGCTCAGGGAAGACTGGGTGACTCCCTTGTGATCACTGATTTGGTAAATCGCACAGGTCTAGAGGACAGAGTGACTAGATGGAGAAGGCCCGGGATAGGCTGTGCAGAGGGACTTCAATGAGAGTGCAACTCCGAGGCCCGCATACCTGAAAGATGTGGTACTTGATGTCACTGATCTCAATGGTTTTGCTGCTGTCCCCATCTTGCTCTGATTTGTTGGTCATTAAGGTCTTGAACCTGGAACAAGGAGACAAGGTGGGGCTTGAACATGGCCTGATCCTTGCTGTGCCAACAGCACTGTCATTTGAGCAGCTTCTGGGAGATGGGACACTGAAAATGACTGCCATGTTAGCAAACTAAAGTTTGGCAGGTACCATTTTACATCATCCTGGGCTAACAGCTGTCCCTACGACCACTCCCCTGCACAGTGACCTGAAGCCTGTGGTGGGAACGCTGACCTCCATTCCAGAATACTTCTGTGTTCCAACAGTCAGCTGCAGTCACTGAGTAGAAGCAGCCCTCTGAACTCCCCTTGCACACAGGACTCTACTCCTGCGGCAACCAGTCTGGTCCACATCGTACCCCAGGGGCAGGCGGGAGCTCTGTTACCACAGGGCAGACACTATAATGTCCCTCTTGGTCCCCTTTCTCCAGCACTTCTGTCACCTAGTGTGGCTCTTTCTTCCGAAGTAGATGAAATAAGGTTTGGAAGTAAAGAAGTTCTGAGGATGCTCCCAAAACTTACAAAATTCACATTGTCTCCCTAAGGTTATACAAGCTGCAATAATGCCTGGGAAGAAGAGACTGGCCAAGCCAGGCTGGGAATTTCAGAGATGCAGCTTTCATGCTGGGCTGACTCTAAGACATCAGGTTCCTTTAAGTAGCCCCACCCCCAACAAATCACCACCTCACTGGTTTTCTAAGCTAGATGTCGGTGGACTCATTCCATTAGTGTCCTGTCTGGGCTCTCTGGGTGGATATATGCTTGTTTCCATCTCCTCAGGAAGACTCACACAACACACCTCAATGCTGAAAGAACTTAGTGTCCCTGGGGCCGGCACTGCTACCCAGGCTGCCTACCTGTTAGATGCTGTCACCAAAAGGACTTTGTGTGCATAAAACAGCTTTCCTTCCACTAGGAAGGTTACATCTGACATCTCCTTGTTGTTCAGGAAGTGAGGATCTGTGGATAGGAAGACAAAGTGAATGGCAGGGTGTCCATCTCCAAGGCCTCTATGAGGGCTAGGGGCAGGCAAAGGATACAGAGAAGGAATAGAGAAACTGAGACTAGAGCCTTGACCCTTGGAAACAGAGAAGGAGGGAAGAGTAGTACATGGGGACCAGCCCGAGTGGGGTGGGCTCACACCTAGCCTGGCTGGCAGTGTCTTCCGGATCTCTGGGATGCTGGGGATGGGGCTGCTGCCATAGCAGTGTGTGAAGATGGCGGCCAGCTGCTGGAGGACGGAGTCGTTCTGTAGGGAGAGGTGGAAAGGGCTGTCAGCATGTGCACGTGGCTGGCTGGCTGTGGCTACATCAGGCTTGTTTCAAAACTCCAGGCCAGGATCAGAGCAGCCGCTGCTGTTTGTTCCTGCTAGATCTGACTTGGCCAGAACGGACTGTCACTTCATCTGTGATTTCCCAAATGGCTGTTTTGGCTGGGCTCCAGCCCAGACTGCCATGACCTCTGTCTTCTGGCAGCCATGCAGTGCGACTCTGGGTGTTGGGGAGGTGTTTGTCCATGTGTCTGGGGCTGCCTGTGTCTATCCATGTGTGGGAGATGAGATGTTTGGGCATGTAAATTTCTATGATGTCCTAGGATCTGGAACCAGGGCTCTCTGAGCCCCAGGTCAGGGCTGCTGGGTCCCACTCACTTTGCTGGTCTTGAGGATGTCAAACATGAGCTGCAAGCCCTCTGTCACCAGCTCCTCGTTGTATTCCTCCTCCTTGATGGAGCTGAAGTCCCTCAGGAGGCCCTGCACCACTGAGTACCGTGACTGTGAGAAAGAGGTCCGCAAGGACTCTATCCAGATGTGCAGCTTCCAGGGGACACCTGGCCAGAGAGAAAGGTAGCTGTCATCACCTCCCAGCAAAGCGCAGCCTGTAGGCCACGCCTTTCCAGGGTGGGCTCTGCCCCGACGCCCCTCTGAGTGCTGCATGCCCCTCGGCTGAGCTCTGTGGCCAATTCTGGATTTTCCTGTCAGGTCCAGCTGGCAGGCACACAACACTTTGGTTTTCTTCAGATGACATGGGGAAGGCCTTCAGCCAAATTCAGGATTGCTTGTTGGCCCCTAGAATTTATTTGTTGAGAAGAACCCGTTCCAGGGGAATGACCAGATGGACCCAGAAAATATGCAGGGCATTCAAAGACACAAAGCCCGCCTCCAGTATGGACGCTGGAAATAGACTGGGTCCCATATGGAGGAGTTCGCAGCATCTAGCTCACTGGTGTATCTGTGCGTAGTGGGGCATATGAGTGTTTACTGGAGTGAGTCGGGTCACGGGGGCAACTTAAAACTAGTGTGTTAAATGCTTAACAAAACCCAGTTATATCCCAGGACTCTTCGGGCTGCCTCAGCTTTGATGGCCAGTCCCGAGGGCAGTGGTTCTCAACCTGTGGATCACGACTTTTCGGAGGCTGAATGACCCTTTCATAGGGGTCGCCCAAGACCATCGGAAAACACAGACATTATAGTTCACATTATAGTTATGAAGCAGCAGCAAAACTAACGATGGTCGTGGGTTACCACGCCATGAGGAGCTGTATTAAAGGGGCACAGCAGTAGGAAGGTTGAGAACCACTGCTCTAGGGGGCTGGCATCTGGCCCCATGGTTAACACTGTCATGCCTCTAGCTGACAACATCCTGCTCTTAGTTGAGGATCATCAGCCCACAGAGAGGTGGGAAGGGCGACTGGGGGAGATCACATGGCACACAGCTAACTGGATCTGGTTCAACTCTATCCAGCTGACTAGCCTCCCTGGAGGACACAGACGCCACAGGTTCAGATCCCTGGACACATGGAGATCGTTGGAATCTTCAGGGTCCTTGAGGACTCCTGATGTCCCATCAGAAAGGAGAGTGGGCCCAAGAGCAGGAGCTTGGAACCTCGAGAGAGCGGGACAACTGTTTCCACACGCACAGCCTCACCCAGTGCCCTTAGCTCCATGGTGATGTCCAGGTAGCCATGCTCAGCGCTGTAGTACATGGCCTCCTGCAGGGCCTTTGTGCGGGTCCGGCTTAGCCTCACAGGCCCCTCACTGCTGCCCTGGCTCGATGTGTCTCCTTCTTCCACACCCTCAGCCAGGATCTCTTCTAGGGACAGCACATCTGCTTTAGCCTGCTGTGGCTGAGTCAGGAGCTTCCTTAGAACATTCCTGAAGGCCAAGAGACAGCAAGATGAGCCCTGGGGTCCCCAAGATGGATGTACAGTGCCCACCTGAGCTACATTCTAGAACTCTATGAGGCATTACTTCAAGGCAGTTGAGGGCTCTCAGCATTCCCCATCCCCAGACATGGCAAAGCCAAGGACTCTACCCTTCTTCTGTCCTGGAGTGACTGAAGTCATGGCTCTGTACTAGACTATATGATTATAGGCTGTCCTACCTCTCTGAGGCCTAGCTGCCTTGTCACCTTAAGACGGTACCAGGGTCACCCTCTCCTGGGGCTGGTGCCAGTCATCAGATGCATACAGCACGGTACAGCAGCCTGCCCCACAATGGACAAGCCTGCCCCACAATGGACAAGCCTGCCCCACAATGGACGAGCCTATCAACCCTGCTGCTCTCTCCTGTGCAGTGATGGGGAGGGTGTGGGTCTGGGGAAGGTGCAGGGCAGGCACTGTGGGGGAGGGCGGGCAGGGGCACAGGTCCAGCAGTGGTGAGAAGACACCGTGTGCTGCACAATGGCATCTTGTCCTCCATCTTTCCTGTCTCCTTCCCTGCCCTCGAGTAACCTCTTTTGTTCCCCTCTATGTCCCATCCTGAATACTGCCTAATGGCTCTGGTTTCAGTCTGCTGTTGCCAGTCACGAGGCCAGGCAGGCCTGCCATCTGTTCCAGAAGCCTCCTCATGACTGGCTCATACTCTGAGTGGGAACCCTGGGGATACCCTGGGACCACGACAGGCACTAGAAACAGACGTGTGGTCCTGAGTGGCCCTGGCAGCTACAATAGTAACCACTGCTTTGCTAACAAGGAGTGGGCTGCCCCAATGTGGGAGGCATAGGTTTCAGTCAGTGCCAGTGTGTCAGGACCCAGCAGTTTATCCAGTGTTTCCAGGCCTCCAAAGCCTTGGGCCTCCATGCTGACCAAGAACCTTCACCATCCTGGTTGACATGCACTTGAGCCCTGGCTTCAAGAAAGGTCACCAGGCCTGGCTCTTCTTTAGCCTCTGGAAGCCCGGGCTCCTGAGAGCATATCTCAGCGTTCCTGGTTACCCAGGGCAGGCACTCCACGCTTTGTACCTGTGGCCATGGGCAGCTGAGTGGCTGAAGCAGTTCATATCCTCATGGAGGGAAGAGGCCATGCCATTGGCTTCCAGCATGCTGAGGAGGGGGTCAGCACCCCTGCTCAGTAGCAAGCTGACCAGCTCATAGTTCCCTGAAAGACAAGGTGGCATCAGAAAGTTTCTGAGTAGGGAAGCAAAGATTGGGCAGACGGGTCTCCAAGATCTGATCTTTGGAATGGGGGGGGCGCACAGTCATATTCAGGGATGATAATGAGGCGAGCGGAAGGCCAGAGATGGCTGTGTCCTACCACAGGGCCTTGCCTAGGGCCTTAGGGGGCTTCCTGCCCTACTGGACCCTGTGCTCAGCAAAAACACTGGGGTGTGGAGGGAAGGGCCCCCGTCCCTGTAGCCTAGCAGGAGTGATCTTAATGGTCCCCAGAGGTAGCAAGAAACCCAAAGACCAGCCAGAGTGACAAGGCACGTCATAGTGATGTGAGGACAGCAGTGCACTTACCAGCTGCAGAAGCCAGCTGCAGGGGTGTCTCAGCATAGCTGTCCTCCCCACTGCTTACTGCCGAGCCCTCCACATTGGCACCGGCATCGAGCAGCAGCTGTCAGGGACAGGAAGAAGGGACAGCTCAGCACAAGAGGGTGCCTGGGGAGGGTGGAGTGCTCTGGGGGCAGCACCTGCAAGTCTCCAAACAAGTGACCAAGAACGGCTCACACTGGAGTCGTAGGATGCCTGGTCACCCTCAGGGAGCTCTCTGTACTTCTGTAATTGCCATGTCCACTCACTCAGGTGGTCATGCACCAAAGTCCCTAAACTGTGTCAACCTTCAACTACTTTTCTCTTTTCAATACTTTCCCGTCAACCAGCTTCAGGGATCTTCTGGAGAACTCACATAGATGAGCAGCACAGGGGAGTGTCACCTGAAGCCCCTAGGTGCAGAAAGCATGGGGTACAGTGCTGATTAGAGTGGCTTGAGCCTTAGTCTTCCCTAGCCACAAGGTGGGGAGAGAGGACTGCCTGCCTGGCAGCATTGCTGAGATTAAATGGTGTAATGCCCAACCCATCAGCATCTGGGCTCCTCCCTGGAGAGGCTCAGTGGCTACCCAGGCTGGCAAGGGGTGGGGAAGAAAGAGCAGAATGTTGCCGGCTAGCCAGAGTGCAAGTGGCCTCATTCTACCAAGGACAGCTTTGCCACGGTTCAGAGGAGGCAGGGTTATCTGTTCCCAAAGGGTCTGCCTTGGGGCAGGGGTGATGTCTGCATTCTGCTGCAGAGGAAGCTTGCTTCACACACTCCCCGGCTCCTGGAGACATACACCTCAATGGATTCGAGGAGCCCAGGTGAGCTCCACGCTCTCCAGTAGGGTGTGGGGCACAGGGATGGCCTGTATCTGCTGGAGACTCGTCAGTCAGAAACCAGATGTGCTCACCACTGGGGCAAGGCAGTGGGGGTGGAGACCTGCCTGCTGGATGAAACTGGGCACCAGGCCAGTCCAAGGCACAGCCCACAGGCCCAGCCTGGACTGAGGCTGCAGCTCTGGGAAGGCAGTGACTAGAAAGCAGGCTGGGTGCAGTAGCCAACTGGCCAACAACCACCTACAGAGTGTTGGCTGCGCTACCACAGGTAAGCCTGACTGTACTACCCAGGGAGGCCTTGCATCCTGGAAGAGGGAGAGGTGCTGACCCCAGGGATGCTCTGTGAAGTCCTGCAGACTACTGACCAGAGGTCTGTGAACTGAGTGCCATGTCACCGGTACCTCTTCTGCCCACAGCTTGTGCTTCTAGAACCATCACCTCACTGTGATGCCGGCCATAGCAGCCCAAGCAATGAGGCTTAGCCTGACATAGATCTGTCTTTTCTCAGTAACGGGGAGATGGGGAGAGACAGGACTAAGGGAAGAGCATGTGGCCAGAAGAGAGTTGGAAATGTAAGATTGGGCAGACTGAAGTCCAGGTCTTTCGGGACTGAGAGAAGCACTTCTTAGGCTGGGATCTCTTCCAGTTCTACAGGTGTCCTTACACTAACCCCTAGGCAAGCCAGGTGAGCTTTGCTAGTCAGGAGCAAGGTCTCTGGCCAGGTTAAGCATGGGGCCCGGCCCAACTGGGGAGCTGAGGCACATGCTGCACCTCATAGGACTCACCTGCACTACAGAGATGTGTCCATGCAGCACCGCAAATGTCAGTGAGGTCCAGTGCCTGCTGTCTGGGTGGATGGAAGGATGCCTGGGAGAGTTGCTTGGAACCTGAAAAATACAACAAATCATCACTATTTCCTAGACAGCTGACATTCTTGAGCAGATGACGCAGGTACCTTAGCTAAGGGGATACACTGTGAGGATGGTGAAGTTAACAGCAGTGTATCTACATTTGCTTGGTAATGTCTGTTGAGAGCACTTGTGTGGACAGGTTCAAAAAGAAAAGGGTAAGTGTCCAGTGAGTGATGTCTTCCATCAGCAAAAGAAGACAGAAGGGGAGTACTTCATGGATGAGGAGGAGGCAGGATGGACAGTCAGGAATTAGCCTCGTAGAGGACAAGGGCTATGAAAATGGAATCATGGCCATTCCCTCTATTCATCTCCCTCTTCAGCCCAAATCTGGAGGAAGTGCTCTTTGCTTTGACCACCATTTCTCTTCTCTTGGCTTGTTTTTAAACAGGGTTTCCCAGCATACCACAGATGGCCCGAAACTCGGGATCTTCCTTCCATAGTCTTCAGAGTGTGCCACCACGCCTGGCTCTTTTTCTGTGGTCTTTGTGTACATTTCTAGTTTAATGAGACACATCTACTGACAATGTCTAAAATACCACACTCAGCCTGGCTGCTGGAGACCCCGAGAGGCCTCTCACTGGGTTAGTGTCTGGGGCAGGAGTTTCTTGTTACCTGTATATCCAAGTTTGCTCCAGCATCAATTAGCATCTGGACCATGGCTTCATCCCCAGCAGCACAGGCATACATCAGCGGTGTCATACCCTGTGAATCAAAGGCAGATGCTGAATCCCCAGACACATCCCTTGGGGGCTGTCCTGTGCCTTGTGCATCTTAAGCTCCCAGGCCAAGGACACTGGGAGGCTAAGCAGGGGGCATTTCTACAAGCACTGAGATCTGCCCGACTCTGCTTCCTGAGTGCTATGATCAAAGGTGTGTATAATGAATGATCTATATGAATGGCTGTGCTCAGCAGTGTGTTTGTGAAGATGTGTCTGACCATATCTTGTGCTAATGAGCAGTCTAGAACATGCCCACTGTTTCTATGTGGGCAGTTAGCAGGGTTGGGAGTCTGATGGCAAAGGCAACGGTGGAAAGTGCATTCCACAGCTGGATCCTGGCAAGCATTTGTTTGGTGCTCTGTGATATTATTTATTAGGTTATTTGTGTGGAGAGAAGATCATCTTGGCTCATAAATCCTTGTCTAGTTCCTGGAGATAAGGAAATGGCTTGAGATTAATCAGGGGCGAGCGGACTGTTTACCTATGCATCTGTCTCTAAATGGCAAGGTTCAGGGAGAGACAGTGCTGAGCATCTACAGAAAGACAGTGGCAGCATGATGGAAATTTGGCTTTGTTCCACACTCACTCACACACAAGGTACACAATGACGTTTTACTCCACACATCTGTACACATTCAGAGCATAAACCAGGCCAAGAGCTGGAGAAGGGAAACTGCTTCCTAGTGCTGTAACTATCCTCACTCGGGCACACAGAAGGGCTAAAGACCAGATTTCAGGGCCAATCACCATCGTTCCGATGGCAACACAACAACAGTAGTAATCATATCGACAACAACCATGTGAATATTTATTAACATTCGGGGTGCTAGGTGGAAAATCCCCCCAACTGCTCTACATGCAGGCCCTGCTATTCCACCTTAGAGGTGAGGAAAGCAAGGTCCCTTTGGCGGCAGGGGGCTTGTTGAGATGCCTCAGCTGGGACACGGTAGACTTCGGCACCGGTGCTTCAGGTCTGCGTTCCCCGAGGAAGCGGATGTCAGGAGGAGGGCTCTGTGCCTGCATCAGACCAGCACTGGCCTAACCCTCCCCACCGTGCTGCTGACACTCCTCTCTCTGTGGCCCTCAGTCCAGGCCCACCTTGCTTACAGCTGCCTCACGGGTCCCCCTGCCGCACCCAGCCCTACCCTCCTTCAGGCTCAGGTTCAGCCCCACGTAGCACTCCAGGCCTCATGTCTCACGCACCTGTCTGTGTGGCATTGTCATTTCATCTGACACCACAGTAACCCGACTGTCCCCAGGCTTGTGGGTGGGCTTCCAAACCACACAGTGCCATTTGGAACACAGCAACGGATCCCCAAACAGTGTCACATAAACATTCCGTAGTGGGCCTGAGCTGGAGGCAGACTCCTTAGAATGGTGATTCTCAACCTTTCTGATGCTACAATCCTTGAATATAGTTCCTCATGTTGTGGTGACCCCCCTCACCTAAAATTATTTTGTTGCTACTTCTGCTGTTTTTAATTTTAATGTAAATGTCTGATATGAGACCCTGGGGGTCACAACCCACAGGTTGAGAACTTAGAGTCTTCTGACTCTGCTGGTACCTCAGTTGTCTCTCCTATAAGTTAGAAATTCCCCACCCTTTCTCCCTATTTTGCTCTTTGGAACTTCTCATCGGTGTGCTCTTTTTTATGTGTTCGTCCTCCCCTCCCATTTCTTTTTTCTTTTGGTGCTGGAGACGGAACCAAGGGCCTTGTACATGTTAGGAAAATACCCTACGACTGAGCTACATCTTCAGCCTTCACATTTGCTGCAACAGGAACTCACTTAGTCATGCTGACTGGTTTTGAATCCATATGTAGCCTAAGCTGGCCTTGAACCCATGATCACCCTGGTACAGCTTGCTGAGTGCTGTGCCTCCAGTGGAACCATCCCTCACTCCTGGCTTAGGGGCTTGTTTCTTACTCTCTCACAGTGTCACCCCGGGAAGACAAGGTTTCTCTGGGGCTAGTGAGCGGCCAGCACACACCCTCCCCTTCACACGCCAGTGATCACACCTTACAGCTTGCTACTGCGTGTCTCCATTGGACTCGTCCTCAGCCCTGCCTCATCTAGGACAGTCGCTTTGCTAGCCCTCCAGCAGGGAAACAGTGTCCACACTACCAGGTTGTTCAGGAGGGACAGAGGATGCCCAGGCTAGCCTTCTGTCAGGGGCCTGAAGCTCAGAGCTGAGAGTCTCAGGTTCAGAATGCAGGGACTATGTATTTCTCTCACCCTAGCAATTTTTCAGTTCAGAGTGTCTCTAAGCCTGACCTAGAGGAGTCCACAGGAGGTACCTGGTCGTCCATCGTGTTCACCCCATCTGGACCCAGGGCTTCGATGGCCTGGCTGATGAGGTCTGTTCTCCCACAGTTGAGCATGCGGAAGCCCAAGTCCTGGTTGAATCTTTCAGTAGCAGCTCGAGCATCCAGCCTCCGGAAGGAGCTGAAGCAGCATTCGGGTCTGCGCAGGAGAGACCAGGAGGTGTGTGAGTGTGACTGTGACATGAGGCCCAGCTGGGCCTGGCTGGCATGGGGAATAGGATGGCTGCGTGCACAGGCCAGTCAGTAATGGTCTTGTTCTGTTCTTGCCAGAGAGCAGTGGTTCTCAACCTTCTAATGCTGTGACCCTTTCTTTCATACAGTTCTTCATGGTGTGCTGACCCCAACCAGAAAATTATTTTCATTGCTACTTTGTAACTGTGATTTTGCTACTGTTACAAACTGTAAATATTTTTAGAGGCAGAGGTTTGCCAAAGGGGTCGTGATCCATCGGTTGAGGACCACCGCCCTAGGGCATGCAAAGCTGGGCTTCCCTATACAGGGGTTGAAGCAATGGACTGAGCACTTGTCAACTGTCAAGGAGCAAACTCTCAGATCAAAATAACCTGTCCAGGGATTCCTGCCCCTAAGAAGGAGGAGAAGGAGGAGGAGGAGGAGGAGGAGGAGGAGGAGGAGGAGGAGGAGGAGGAGGAGGAGGAGGAGGAGGAGGAAGCTCATCATGGGCCAGTGCTTTTGGTCAATCCCTGGTACTTGCACAAAGTATTCTGACCTTCAGCCTGTGAAATGGCCATTGTGAAAAAGGTCTTGCTTGTCCCTCTGTGTCTCTTTGGGCTGCTTAGTAAGACCCCCAAATACCAACACAAGGCAGGAAGAGGCTTAAAATCCATGCACAATCAACCCAATCTACTAAGGACTATCTCAGATACAACCTGTATCTACACAGGGCACACAAGAGACATCTAAAAGCTCCTGCCTGCGTAATTAGGTCAACATGTGTAAAATTCATGTCTAGAGCATAGTTTAAGCACAGCTGGAAAGCAGAAATGCAAGGCACTCCACAGACAAGGTATTGCCATCAGGAGCTCCCCCAAGAAGAGTTTCTGTAGCAGACCTGTCTACAGGAAAGGGTACTGGGGGGAAGCATAAAGAGTACAAGTTTGGGGACCATGTGAACCTGGTCTCAAATTTAGGCCTTCCGTGGGCAAGCTGCTGTTCCTCCCTGACCTCTTCATCTAGAACATGGACGTTAGGGCCTCTTTAAAGTTGTCATGATGACAAAGTTAAAAAGCACAAAGTAAAAAACAAAAAACAAACACAAAAACAAAAAACTCAGCACAGGGTTTGACACAAGGAAGCCAGAGTGAACAGAGGTACATAGGAAAGAGCCTCGCCAATCAGGACCCCAGACTTGCACTGTGTGTGCTCTTCAGCCCAGACTCAAAAGTGTGTCTGCTCTAGTTAGCATGCCAGTGGATGTAGAAGACACATCCTGAAAGCAGCCAAGGCCTAGACCAGATCTGTTCCCACACTTGGCCGTGGCATTTGTGGAGGATACTTAATGCAACTCAGGTGCCCTACGGCCTTGCAGAGAGGTTTGTAGGTGTTGGGACATGGATGCTGTGACCCCCTTCTCCCAGGCTCCATACTTGAGTTGGCGGGGCTCACAGTCCAGGCCTGGTAGCAGCAGCCGGGCTGCCTGCCGGATATCGCCACTGTCCACGGTGAGGCTGCGGCGGTGCTCTGCGTAGGTGATTGCCACCCGCATCCACTCCATCAGTGGTGGCAGCAGCATGAAGGGCCTGTGAGGCGGCAGAGAGAGGTCAGGTCTGGGTGCACTGCTCCATGCTCACAGAAGGGGGCCCCTTAGCACTTGGTCTCAGAAAGTAGCCACAAAGGTTGGCCACTCTGTAATTTCCCGGCTGCCTTCAGCCACCAGGAGACGCAGTCTTTGTGACCACAGAGACCCCAGTTTGTCCTTGCATTCTATGGCAACCCTGTCACAGGCCAGGAGGAATTTCCATCATGGGAACTGGCGGAAACTAAGGGCTCTTCAGTGGCCAATAAAAGATGTCCAACAACATGTGTAATTGGGGTGCTTGCCCATCCCAAGAGCATCAGATTGTCCCATTTGCAGAAGATGGAACACAGCTGGGAATATGCAAGAAACCCAGGCCTAAGCCCAGCTTTGCAACAGTAGCTGTCACCTCATTACCCTGATGGCACCCCACATCCATCTGTCACCACCATTGTGCCCAATCACCATCGTGGGTCTCTAAGAAGCCAGAAAGGTTGCCAACCTTTCCTCCTTGAGGGCAAACATTTTCTTAAAGCCCAAACAAACCCCTAACCAGATTAGTCAGACATGAGCTTGAAGGTGGTTCTTTGGGGGAAGCTACTCTGATGTTTCCCTACAGAAATACATGTGGGTTTAGGTAATTTAACTGGCCCACTGAAAGTAACAGTGGGTATGAGGAAGCCAGAGATCAGTAAAGTCTCACTGTTCTTGGTCTCCAGAGCAGGCTCAGCTCTGGTTGCCACCTGCCACCAACCACAGCTGCCCAGCAAAGATTCTGTGGTAGTGTGAATGTAATTGGCTTCCATCATCTCATATGGAGTGGCACTATTAGGAGGTGTGGCTTTCTTGGAGTGGGTATGGCCTTTTTGGAGGAAGTGTGTCACCATGTGGGGGGGTGAGCTTTGAGGTTTCCTATGCACAGGATACCACCCAGTGTCTCAGTCAGCTTCCTGTTGCCTCCAAGATATAGGACTCTCAGCTACTCCTCCAGCACCAGGCCTTCCTATATGCCACCATGCTCCCCATCATGATGATAATGGACTGAACTTCTGAAACTGTAAGGGAGCCACCACAATTAAACATTTTCCTTATAAGAGTTGCCATGGTCATGGTGCCTCTTCACAGCAGTAGACACCTAATGGAGACACCTGCTTATTTTCAGCCCCTCACAGGCTTTCACTTCTGCCTGGCTACACTCGCTTCATCCTTCAAAGCACAGAGCCAATATGTGCTCTCTCCACCCAACCTCTTCAAGCCTACCATAACACCCCTAGAACTCTCTTCCAGCATGGCACGTGTCACATGACCCTGACCGGCTTAAGGCCAGGAAGGATGCCTTTCTCAGCTCTGTATTCATACAGCCTGGGACCTGACCCATCAGGTTTTCAATAAATGCTTGTTGATGGACTTGAACTATGGGTTAGCACCTGTAACTTAGCATAGCATACGCAGATTATTTACTTGGACCAACTCATGTTTCTTCTCAGAAAAGAATGACATCTGGAACCAAATGTGGTGACGGCACACACCTGTAATCCCTGCACTTGGGAGATGGAGGCAGGAAGATCAGGATTCAAGGCTAGTTTGAAGCTAGCCTGGGCTATAGGAGTCCTTGTCTTGGAAAAAGAGCAATGTACCTCATTTCCAAGGGCATGGTATTGATTAATGTAGGAGGTGGGACCATTTGGGGGAACTCATGTAATCTCAGAAGGAAAAACAATCATTCCTGAATTATCACTGCAAGATCTACCCTGAATATAAACATCCATTTGAAATCCCCTGAACTATCTGTGAATTTTTCAATTCTCGAATTAGGGCAGGAGGCCAGCACAGATGAACATTACTTAAACCATTAGCACTGGAAACTGATTGTTTTATGCTTCTCTATTGTAGCTAACAGCACAGCAAAGAGCAGGGTACAGCCATTAAACTTCTTTTTGTGTGTGTAGTCCAGGCTGGCCTCTAACTTGTGTTTCTCCTGCCTCAGCCTCCTAAATTTTGGGACTGCAGACATCACCTAGCCTAGCTAAGCTATTAAATCTCTAACTGGACATTTCCTCTAAGGCAAGCTCCAAGGGGATGTTCAGGACCAAGTCCTAGTCAGATAGTGTCCTCACTTATCCTCCCCCGGCCCCTCATGTCTCATCGAGCTCACTAGATAGAGACTGCAGTAGGAATTACCTTGGAAATTGTATACCGAGGAAAGGCTCATTCAACCTCCATTTGCATCACCCTGATTGGAGACCAGAATGATGGAAACTACACTTCCCAGACTCCTTTGCAATTGTGGTGCTAGATGCAAATCCAGTTTCCTAAATAAGATCTTGCTTTATAAGATCCATCCAGAGGCCACCTTTGTGTCCCTACTGTTTTTTACCAACAGATCAGTTGGTAAAAAGCATGAAGTCTTTTTCTCTCTTCCTGTAGAACATTCTTGTGTCTGGGCTCTGTTTCTCTGTGTGCTAGAGGCAGAGACAATAGTGGTAAAAACAACAAAGACTCATGATCCCAGCCTCAGTCCTAAAGAGGACATAACTGCTCAAACCTAGTGCCCGAGCCTGTGGGTGAGCTCCGTGTCATCTGTAGAGCTGTTTCTGGAAGCCTGGTCTAGGCTCTGTCTCCTAAGTCCTTTCTGTGATTTGGTTAGAGTCTAATTCCTGCATTAAGTCCCATCCTGTTTAAAATACCTAAAGTGATTTCTGTTTCCTGAACTGAACACTGATTAATACTCTAGAAATCTAAATTATCCCTCTACCTCTAGGATGGTGATTAGTGAATGCCTTATTTCCAAACAAAGCTGACCTTGTTAACAACCAACCTCTTAGACCAAGGACAGCTTACTCACACCCACCCCTACCGGTGGTCCTTAGTCAGGTAAAATGATAAGCAATCCATGGGCTTTCTTGGTAATTCCAGGATACAGTTTCCTTTCTATTAATTCTTCCTGCCCACTGGGCACAGTGAGAAGAGCAGGCCTGCATTATGGGATATTCTGGAAAATCCCTATAAAACTCCCGTCTCTGTCTCCAGTCTTCATGGCTGTGTTACATCTTCAGAATGGAAGGGCCTGGAGGAGTGGGGCTGAGGGCAACTGATGTGTGTCTTCCTCAATGTCTTTCTTCCCACAGCTCAAGTTGGCTGAGAGCCCCTTTGTACTGAAATGCAGTTGGCTGCAGGAGCCAGGCTGGAGCCCCACAGGCTCATCCATCCCTCTGTGCAGCCTGCTCAGATAATGCTGGGTCCCATACCCTGGAGTAGACATTCCTGGATAGTTTTGGTCTCAAGTCTCTTTTTATACTCTAAAAAGTTACTGAAGGGCTGGAGAGATGGCTCAGAGGTTAAGAGGGCTAACTGCTCTTCCAGAGGTACTGAGTTCAATTCCCAGCAACCACATGGTGGCTCACAGCCATCTGTAATAATGCCCTCTTCTGGCCTGCAGGCATACATGCAGACAGAACACTGTATACATAACAAAAAAATCTTTAAAAAAAAAGTTACTGAAACCCCCAAAAGGTTTATATTAATCTTATTCTATGATACAAACAAAAACTAAATCAGAGAAAATGCTGAAACACAAAAATCCACAAGTGTCCCACAAGCTACCTCAGTGACACTATCATGTCAAAAAGCCTTTGGAAAGATCCTTTGGATACTGTGCAAAAAATGAAATTCAAAAGCAAAGATCACATTCTTTTGAAAACAGATTTGATCCTGTACTCTCCTGGCAAGTGTCTCCGTGGTTCCAGGGGTTCCATGGGCACAATTTGAGGACTTCTGCCTCAGAAGATCACACCAGGTACCTGTGCTGGTTAGGAGCTTTTTTTAAGACAGAATCCCACTGCAAAGCCCCCCAAATCCTGGCTGGATCAGAACTCACTATGCAGACCAGGCTGACATCAAACTCACAGAAATCTTCCTCCTTCTGCCTCTTGAGTGCTGGTCTAAAAGCATGTGTAATCACAGCTGGAATTGTGCCAGGTTAATTTTTCATGGTCAACTTGACATAACCTAGAGTCAGTTGGGAAGAAAGACTCAATTGAGGAAATACCCAGATCAGACTGGCCTGTGGCCATGTCTGTGAGAGCTTTTGTTGATCAGTGATTGATGTGGGGGAATCTAGCTCACTGTGGACAACACCATTCCTGGGTAGGTAAGACTGGACAAGGCCGTAAGGAATGGTCCTCCATGGCTCCTGGTCTCTGCATGAGCTCTGTCCTGACTACCTCAATGACAAGCTGTAACATGTAAGATGAAACGAAGGCTTTCCCTCCTCTAAGTTGCTTTGGTCAGGGTGGTTTATCATAGCAACAGAAAAGGCAGCTAGCAGAGTGTCTAAGGGCAACAACGCCCAGGGCTGGCAGGCAGCAGCAGGCTCAGGGCTGGAACTCTGTTCTGGTGGCACACAGTCCTGTGAACCCTGAAGCAGCACAGCGTTTGCACATATACTCCTGGGATCGGGAGTCCTGAGTACCCTGGATCCTTAAGGACAGCATCATTACTGGGAGAAAGCTCTAGTGGCTTCAGTACAACTGAGCTGGCCTTGGAACTCCAGGCAAACATTACCCTCTATGGGCTTGGCTTTCTATCAAAGAGGGGGTTAGGTTCATGTTTATATATTTTCTTCCATGGTGAGAAGCCTTCTCCTTTAATTGCAGCCTCTTCATGGCAGTAACTGAACCTACAGCCCAGGAGAATATATGGTTTTAGAGGGAGACTGGCTGGCTGGGATCAGTGTCTTCTCACTGATCAAAACTCTGACCCTGTACAGTAGCTTCACCTCTTCTAGTCACAATTCCCATCTGAGAAAAATGGCTCTAAATCATAGGAGTACTTCCCAAGACAGCTCTAAGTACATACACAAAGTGCTTAGCAGGAGAACACTGGGAACATGGTATGTTCTCCATAAACTCCAATTAGTCTTACCACTTTAGTATCTGTTGATAGAGAAAACATCATAGAGAAAAATAGGCCATAGGAATCTGGCTCTATTAAATGCCTCAGCTC